AAAATTATTATTATTATTATTATATATATATATATATAACGTATCTCAAGGAAAAGATTTTCACGTTTCTTAAGACTTTTGGAAGCACTTCATAGTAAAAAAAAAAATTTTCAGCAATCTATAAAAAAAAACTCGCTCCGATATGCTGTATCAAATTTTTCACTGAATCCTCGGAAAATATTGATATTATTGTATAAATATCAATTTCGAGTAATTTATTTTAATTATGTTTCTAATTAGGTTTTCTTTTCGAATCTCATATATATATTAATATATATATATATATATATATCCAAGATGAGCTGATGTGACTGGGGTGAATTTTAGCATTGTCAAAATTGAATTTATGAATTATTGTGTACGTGAATTTAACGAACACGAGAAATTTAGTAAGTTTTATTGATTTATAGTGGGCATATTACTTTCTGCATTGCAACTAAATTAAAATCTACTATTCTCCTTAGCAATAGTGAATCAATTTAAATTATTTACGCACATTTTAATTTACTTACGAAAAAGACGAAAATATGAATTTAAAGAACATTTTATTGGAAAAACTAAAATACAATATTAACAACACAATATTTTTCTATCGATTACTAATCATAAATGCATATAAATTTTCAATTTATAAAGTAACTTATTTTAACATTTTTGTTATTAAAAAGGTAATAAGCATTTCATAAAATAATTAACATTGGAAGCAGAGGACTAATGCTAAGTTTCCTATCTTATGCCATTTGTTATTATCTTACGAAATTTCCAAACGTCTTTAATGTAACTTTCAACTTCATAAGTTCTTAAAAAAATATTTTTTTTTAAATATTTTAACCATTTTCTATAATTGGGGCAAGCAAACTCTACAAAAACTTGTTTTATTACGTTATTTTGTTTTATTAAAGTTATTATGAATGAGTTGTGTTGCAAATATTTACGCCTATTTTTATATTATTTCATAAATGTAGTGAACGCTGCTTAAATAGGAATGTCATTTTTATATTTTGAAATAGATCAAATTTTGATCTCTACATTTAAAATTCCTCAATAATAGAACAATAAATACTTTTTGTTTTTGAATAATATATACATATAACACTGGTGTTCAAAAATTATGAGAATTTTTAGATTTAATCAACTATCTATATTTTATTTTATAACCGTCGTTGAACAGCCGACCCAATTTTATGGTTTTACGACTACTAATGCTCAGCACCGTAGCCTTGTAATTTTGAACCCGATTCAGAAGACAAGGATGAGAAATTCTGGACCTAGTATTTGGGAGAAACTATGCCTTCGTGGAGGTCTTTTTGATGGAACAAACCCGCATTTGCGTTACATGGAAAGGAAAACCACGAAAACACCCCAAGGTTTGCCAGACGGCAAGAAAACTCTAACCCTTAATCCGTTACCACTGAGGATATTTTACGTCAGCACATTGGTCAATGCAAGCCGGATGAAGAATTCGTATTGACAAGCCATCGCTGGGATTCGAACCCGGTTTACTTCATTGGAAGGCGGACGCTCTATCCCCTGATCCATCACGGCTCAATCAACTATCTATAAGATTTTTTTCCAATGCCCACCTGCGTCAACATCCTTCAATTCAGGCATATACAGGGCGATTTTGTGGGCCTCTCTTTCAGGGGCGCCATATTATGTGGGCCAACGTCGCTCCCACAGTGAGGACAGATAGTACAGAGAAGGAAAGAACATCCATGCCTTCCCCGGGATTCGAACCCAGAACCTTTCTGATGCAAGGGCAGTTCCCTGACCCCTACACAAGCCGGTCGGCGGTGTTGAAATATAGGGAAGCTAAAGCGCTTCTTGGGGTTACGACTCCGGACTTCTGTTCTTTTATGACACAGTGATCATAAGATCAATAAGAATTATTAGACAGAGTTTACTGAAATTTGGTGTAAAGTAATTTAGACTGTACAGACTATGTAAATATTCAAAAATTATAATCCATACACATGATCAAGCGTCACAGTCATCGTAGTAGGAAGGCATTAAACAGTTGTTAAAAAATCGAATAACAGTTGGATTTAGTTTCCACGTAAATCAATTTTCAATTATGTTAAACATTCTCACTAGGATTTACAGCAGGTTAAGAGTTCTTGTAAGAATTTGTTTCTCTTTCAGCCACGCTGTTTTTAGGATCCTTATGGTTCTTTGAAGGAGAGTGCAAGGTGCAATTGTTCTATCCAAGTATCACAGACTTGCTCAATTGGGTTGAAATCTAGAGAGATCGGTGTGGTTAATCAATCCGACGAATATATTATCATTTCAGAAATATATTGTCAGAGTGAGCTCAATTTTAGGGCAATTCACGCTAAAACAAAGGAGATTATAATGTTCCAAAACTTCTTGTCTATGTTCACACTAGCTATAATGCCACTTTCTATACCATGAATGGACGAGTAGTCATTTAACATGCTTTTTCCAAAACATCGAAACTCCTAAACCAACAATAATAGATTCGTCTGACATTGAAGACTGCGTTGCAGTTTTCTGTAATGGCTGAGTATGGAACAGCAGCTTGCCTTCTAATGTAGAATAATGTACTTGTTGTAGCGTAATCACAGCCTTTAATTTATATTTTATAAACCCTAATGTGTATTAAAAATGTGCACATTGGGATCGTAAAATAGTAACACGTTGAATGCCACGCTAATTTTACATGGATTGCTCGTCTGGCAACAAAGGTAAATAACTACAAATTAAATTTGCAAATATTAGACAGATTTTGTTAGCTTTTAATAGTTTTAACATGACATATCTGAAAAAAGTGGTGAATTATATAAACCTATGAATTGTTTAGAAATAGTGGTGCATAAAACTCTACTAAATTGAATTTATTAAACCAGGAATCACAATTAATAAACTACCACTTGAAAATATTTATTCGCTGTCCGGAGCAAGTTGGCATCTCTGTGTATATAAATAAAACTATTTTTGTGTGTTCTATATTGCATTAATTTCTTTAAATCATTTTAGCTACGATAATAATATTAAAAAACTAAAAATATACTCGAATTATGTATTTCTAATAATCTTGGCTTCGTCGTCACCGGTGACCCCCATTGGCATTCAACGTGTTAAGTGACAAACAAAAACTAAACAGTGAAACAAAATCGGTATCAAAATCTGATAGACTGATGAATTTCGGAGGTGTATCTATTAGTCGCATTTGTATTTTCTTTCAAACAGACTTAGTGTTTTTAGTTCCTATTAGGATTTCGATAACATATTTACATTTTCCTCAGCCTCAACAAGCAATTTATTTTTTCCTCAACAAGCAAGTTATTTTTTTTTTCGTTTCATTTATTTCGTTCGAACATTCAGTCAAAAAATATATTATGTTCATAGAAGTCTTGTTTTTTCAAAATTTCTCGGCTCAAATGTCGCTAATTTTAAATAAAAATAAATCCTTTTTGATATCATGTCTCATTACAATTATATTACCCCTAACATGCATGGAATTTAATGAGCATTTTAAAATGTCGGTGATAACAGAGAACCTAATTTTAAAAAAAGGCAAAAAAGTTCATTATAAATTTTTAAAAATACTATTGCTTCATACTTGACCATTAAATTTCTTGTGCTTCCTTTAAAGTGACATACATTCAAGAAAATTTTTAACTGAACAATTAAATAATGGAGAATTCAAATCAAAGTAAATGTGATTAGCTATAAGAGTTTATTTTAATGCATATTTATTGCATATCAATGGTTAGTAAAGCATGCAAAAACATAAATAATTATAAAAATAAAACTGGCAAAGATTACTTAAAAATTATAAATAATTGTTATAAATATTGCAGTTCATATTTTCATAGAAACATGAGAATAGTGATTAATATAAATCATTTTTAACATATATCTATTCAATATGGCAGTACTTATTCAGTAAAACTGAGGTTTTATATAAAGTAGGCTTTACAAAAGAATGCTTACATCCTTAATATTTTTCAGCTTGTCTCCTTTAGATTTCCGGCCCACTCGCTTTGCCTAAATAAAATAAAACTAGTTATTTCATAATTTTTTTTAATTTTATTATTCCAAAATAAAATTGATAGTCTTAATATACTTTTATATACAAGATGTCCCTGAATTTAAGGGATAAACTTAGGGATGTATGAATTGTGAATTGCATCGCATCCCATGACCGGAAATTCCATTTTACACTGCAAGAGGTCTCTTTCTATTATGGTCTGGTGCTCATAAACATTTGAAATGGCACTTTTTATTTACTTAAATTATCTCAATTTTAAGATGATTTAATTTTTCAAATAATTATCATCGACCATTTCATTCAAATGGGAAAATAAATAACAGTGTTATAGCTATATAGTGATTTGGTTACTTATTTACTGAGTCTGTTAAGTTTGTCGACAAATCATTGAACTACGATGAAACCGTTATTTATGGGTCTATTTCATTCCAAATTTCGACAATTAGGTTTAGAAAACATAAATAAGATAATTCAAATAAATAAAAAAAAAATTAAAAAATAAATAATAAAATATATTTCTCAATGTGCATGAACAGTCAGTCTGTTGATGGTTAGTCTGGCCTAACGGCTTTCGATGGCAGCTTCTGTGATTTGTTGCTATGCAGTTATCAATACCTATGATGTATCCTACCCCCCTTAAAATTTGACCCAGAAATTCATAGATACCCTACGTAATACATCCCTATTTTCATACATTATTTTTGTAGCATTTTATTTTTATAAGCAATATAAATTTGTACATATTAAACATATTCTTTACATTGAATTTAAAAAAGAGTGTGACATATTTTTTATGGTTATAATATTACTGTATATGAAATAAAACAATTTATGGTTAGATATAGATGTAAGTTACTTTTAAAATTGTTAAAAATATGTTTTAAATTTATGAACAAAACAAAAAATAAGTCTTAGGGAGGATGCAATTCACAAAAAATTAAAAGTGTTTCGATAAAAGTGAATTCTATAAAAATTTTCTTTACAAATTTTTCTATACCGATTTTTCTATTTACGTTAGGTTACCTTGGAGAGACGAGAGAAATTGTGTAAGCAGTATTTGTATATTAAGAAAAAGACCATAATGAGTCATATTTAATTTAAAAATATAGAGTCATATAGGTAATTATTTACAATAAATTGCCACATTTTTTAGAATGTAACGTTGACAAGGCTTTGTCTTGATATATTCTGATAGATCTTAAATAAAATCTAACATTTAAAGAAATTTTTTTACATTACTAATTTTCTTTTAAGGAAAATAGATTTATCCTGTATGTTTTTGAAATTTTTATTAGTAGTAGTTGCGAAATCATAAATGTCTAAACAGATGATAAATGATCAAGAATTATGTTGATTTATTCGGTAAGAATAATTTAACGTGATAATTTTAATATATTAAATATCTGAAACGGAATTAAACTGGTAGCAAACGTTTCAATAAAATATTTATTTAAGTTCAGTTTTGTATATTACGCAAAAAATAGGACAAAAGAAAACATATTTTCTTCTCAATAAACTATGTCTGTGCTAAAGCAAATTTTAATTTAAAAAATTCATTTATATTTTTTTTAAATGTAACAAAATTCAATTAAGAATTTCATTTAAAAGAAATTACTAAATTGTTCGTCTTTTTACTTGAAAACTTAATTTAATTCATACATCTTTCACGTAGTAAACACCAAATTCAGTCATCAAAACATTTTACAGAGAGAATATTTAAATAAAATTGACACTAGTTGTAAAATAAAACTGAAATAGGAGAGAAATATGCAAAAACTTTGGAAAATTAAAAGACATAAAACTGCAGAAAACTATGTGCCAAGAATTTAATAAAATATAAAAATCATACATGTTTGTTGGCCGAGCGTCGATTTTGAAGCCTTGCTTGAGCTAATAGCTCAGGAGGTACCTGGAAAAAAATATTTCTAAATAAAACAGTCTATTTTAACATAATTATGTGTTTTCTGTTTAAAATATTAAAGTCACCTTCATAAGTTATTAAAAAGATATGACAAACACCGAGCTTTAATTTTAAAAAATAAAATTAATAAATTGCTTTTGCAGTAAAAGAAAACTAAATTCGAGATTTAAATAAGAGCTTTTCTAAATATTCATTCCCGTTTATAGTAGAGATGAATTATTCATGAAAGATGATGCATACATAATTTAAAAACATCATTATTCTAAATCTTTTCAGGAAAAAAAAATTAAGATTAAGTTGGAACTTAATAAAATATTTTTTGAATATTTAATAATGGTTATCAATGTTTTTTGGGTCGAAATGGGGCTGGAGTTTTCATCGGTTGTGATATTTTAAAATGTTGACCAAAATATATTAATTTAATTGGCACTTTCTTAAAGAGGAGTATTAATAAAAATAAATTAATAGCGATGAATTTATGGATCTATTTAAATTTTGGGTAAAGACTGATTAAATCTCGTGTATTACATATTTGTTTATGTACAGAGCACAAAATTTTAAAAAAAAATAAACACCTTAATAAATTTTGACCTTAATATCATATTTCCACGTGGTAGGACTTAATTTTTTCAAGGTCTAACGCAAAATATCATCAATGGTAGACGGATCATGAATTAGAATTCAAATACCATTAGGCTAATCGTGGGTAGTTTTCGAGGTTTCCCTCTCCATGTAACACAAATGCGGGTTAGTTCAATCAAAAAAAAAAGTCCTCCACGAAGGCTGGTTTGTCCCAATATTTGATCCAAGAGTTCCCTCGTCTTCTGGGTTGGGTTCAAAATTACTAGGTTACTGAGTTGAATATTGATAGTCATAACTCTGAATTGGGTTGGCTGCTCAACGCCGGTTATGAAATAAAAATAATAAAATAAGGTAATTAATTCCAATTGAATAAATACGTGACTTAAGTGTAATAATTTGAGAAAAATAAAAAAAACAATTTTCGAGCTAATTTTATTATGAAGTTAAAGAAAAATATTTACAACGTTTTTAAACTTGTACATTTCGACAAAAATAGATTAAAAATGTCAATTTAAAAAACAATTAGCAAAACTAGCTTTCAGATTTGACATTCTCACACCCGAATTACAGAAGAAAAAGCATTTGTATAAATTCAACAAAAACTTGGTTTCCCAGTGCTATTTATGAAAAAGAAGAATAAAGAATATTTGAATAAAAGAGAAGATTTGAATACATTTCAACACTTACAACTCCAAGGAAATTGCTATATTTAATGATTAGTTGCGTGACTTTGGAGGACAATGCTGCAACTGTTACTTCTGTTGCCAAATCATTGCTTTTGTGATGTCCTTTCTTAAGTCTCGGAGGAGGAAACAGATTTGGAGCAACGATCATCGCCACATTGCTCAGTGACATTCGATTGCTGTCTTCCTCTTCAATTACTTTGGTCAAGAAATAGAGGAGCTCCTAAAAATATACGATATATATATATATATTTTATTTCAAATATCCATATACAGTTAACCCCCGCTATAGTGAACCTTCAAGGGACCTTCAGTTCACTATAACAAGGAGTTCACTATATCCACACTGCAAACAATTTTAACTGATTATTATGTACTGCTTTCTTTTATTACACATTATTTAAATAAATGAGCAATAAAAATAAATACAAAAATGAATAAAAAACAATATGTAATAACAAAAAAATGTGTTTATTTTTATTTTTTATTACTCTTCGTCTTGTGTACAAAAAATTTAGGGATGGGAAAATGAGATTGAAAAATCAAGCAAAGAAATAATACTTATGGCTACATTCCTCTCAATAGATGGTTTTAAAAACCGGTATGTGTATTTTATGTAGAAATTTCAAAATTATCAAAAAATGAAGAAAAAAATTCAGTCGGAGACAGAAAAAAGTTCATAATATCCAATTTCCTCTCCTCTTTTGGTGCACTATATCCACAAAAAATAATATTACTTGTGTACAGCAAGGCACGGGAGCGAACATTTCGTTCACTATATCCGGGAGTTGAGTATAAACCATGTTCACTATAGCGGGGTTTGACTGTAGTACGATTACTAAAAAGGCTAACGTTGCATTTTTTTTAATATTATGAAACTTTTACAGTTTGTTTCTACGTTTTACAAAGAAATAAATATTTTTGCTAGTTTTCAAATTGCAAGTAATAAACATTTTGCAACAAACTTTAAAAAAAATTTTTTATATATGTACTGCAACTAAACAGAAAGTAATCAGTATTATAGGAGGAAGAATGTCCCAGGACTGTCTTATTTTAATGAATATTTAAAAAAACTATTGTGCAGTCAAATAAAAGGTCTTTAAAATGAAAATAAATTACATAGTTAATTTTTTTAATTAATTTTTAAAAAAGTCGATGTGAAGCTAGATTTTCAACTCCTTTCGTAACAAGATTCGTTGCGTCAGGGAAATCTATCTAGAGTGCAGCAACCTCAATATTTATTTTAACTTCACATCAAAGCCTTGTAATGTTTTATAATAATAAATAACTATAAATCTAAGACATTTTGTGGCCATCAAATCTATTTTAAGTTTTGCACCCTGCATATTTATTAAATTTACGCCTGTGCTGATAAATATTATGTTAAATATCAATAAATTCAAGACATCTTGAACCTATTAAACCTATTTGAAACTGAGCAACCTCAATATCTATTTTAAGTAGACGCCTGCGCTGATAAATATTATTAATATCAACGCGAGGAATATATTCTGTGGGTAAATATTAACTCATACTTTAATTATTACAAAATTGGATAGTTAATAACTATGTATTTATTAATAAATATATTTATTGCCTTATCGAAATATTTTTAGAAGTTTTAAATTCGTGGTAATGCTTGAAAGTAATGTAGGTTATTGTAAACTTTATTAAGTTATAATTTTTTAAAAGCATAAATATTATTTTTAAGGTTGTATATAAAATATCTGGAGCTTTCGTAAAACAGGTCAGAATCGAATTTTAACGGCCCAGTTACCATTTGGCAAAATATCAATGCGGGAGCATAGTTATGTTAATTATTTCTCACTTTGGTAAGTCTGCCTTTATATAAACTATCTTGGCCCTGCTTAGAAATAAAAATAATATGCGTATTCTATCTCTTTCATGAAATAGCAAAGACGGTGAACTTTTATTGAAAACATTGTCACACTCGTAATACTTTACCGCAAAACATATGGAATCAAATTTACAACGATTTTCTTTTCCTAAAATAATAAGAGAAAAATTCACCTAATAAATGTGAAAACAGATGACCACAGAATTTGTAACATTATTAAAACGAAAATATAGTCTTCAACATACTATATAAGTATTGAATTGGGTTGGGTTAAAAATTAATATTTAATAAAAAGTGCATAAGTTTCACAATCATAAATGCAGTTTTTTGACAGTAAAATGGTAAATTGAAATACCGATTTGGAAGTAGTAAACTAAAAACCTTCCCACTTTTTTGCTTTGCTGAAGGAATAACCCTTTAAATTATCGAACGAATGTAGCTTAATTTATGAAATTAGTGTTCTGGTTACCGTTTGCAGCACTACTTGCTGGCTAACTGATGAGTTAGCGTTTCTATCTTAGAAACAGTGAATTAAATAATAAAAAAAATAGTGAATAACAAAGTTGTAGGGCTCTTTCGATTTGCTACGAATACCTTGCTTAAATTACTACCAAGAAAAGGACATTTAACATACGAATTAGTAAATTCATAATTTTCTACATTGTGACGAAATATGTTGCCTATGAATACCTTGCTTAAATTACTACCAAGAAAAGGACATTTAACATACGAATTAGTAAATTCATAATTTTCTACATTGTGACGAGGCAAAAAATTTAAGCAAGAAACAAAATGAATTGTTACAATAGGATAACTTAATTTTTGATGTTCAAATTTTTCTATAGCTTTCTTGATCGAAAATGGACATCGAAAACTAGTTTTCTTTCATAGACCATACATTAATATAATACAAATAATGCAGAGTACAGATCCATGAACATAAGCATTAGCATTCATGTCATAAAAAAATTAAGATGTCGATTTGTAAATTAGTGAAATTTCAAAAAGATGACCATTTTCATATTTACACAGTTTTCGCTAACTCAGCAGTTTTCCGTTAGGTGGCATTTTAAGCAGTTTCTTCTTGAAACATATAACCACTTTATCGTACCTTCATTTCTCTTATTGTAGCCACAGCTGTTGGGAAGTTAATTATAATCCAATATACAGTGAGTTGAGTATACATTTAATAATGAGTTACGCGTGTACATATACATCTGCATTATAAAATAATGACCTATACTGCTAACTCCTATCTCTTTAAACACAGTGAAGCGTATTACAATAAACCGCCACCAACTAGATCCAGATGATTCAGTATTTAACAAATAAAAGTATTTTTTTAAGAAAAGAATACAAAACTTTCCTATGATTTATTGTTTTGTAATTACTAGAGACTGTTGCTTCTCCACTAATTTCGTTACTACTTTTATTACCTTTTCAAGTGTTTGGCACTTACTGAAAGGTTTAAGGTTAGTTATAACTGAAAGGTTTAAGATACTTTGACTGTACCGGTCCATCCTGTCGCATAAAATTCAGCTTATAATTGTTTGAAAATATTCTTAATGTACTAAGTGAAAATAAACTTCTATGAATATGCTGATGATATGCTTATGGGAATATGCTTATTAAAACTTACCTGAAGAAGTTCTCTATGGGGGTCGGGTAATGCTAACATCAGCAAGTTTAAAGCATTCATTTGATCTTGGACATTTGGTATATCTGCGAGAAAGAAAAAACTCTTGAATACTCTCGCACACCATTTAAAGCATTGATAGGATTTTTATTAAATAAAATCTAAAAAATACTTGGCACTAGTAGGAATGCATCCATATGACTATTTGTGAGAAGTGGCTCGGGCAATTGCCTTACTAGTTGTTTTAACAAAACGCTGACATCATGAACAGAGGACTGGCGAATGAGATTCTCCACTAGCATTGGTGACGTCACATAACTGCGTTCGATTTCAGCTTTTAATGCCTAAACGAAGAAATTAAAATGTATATTAAATATATTTTCTAATCGATAAAATGTGTACAGTAAATAACACCATTTGAACCATGATTTCGAAGTTGATGTTTTGTCGTAGTAAAGTACTAAGGTTCTAAACCCGGCACGTATATTAGTGGACGTATATAAGTGGTAAAATGTGTACGGTAAACACCATTTGAGCGATGATTTCAAGTTGATATTTTGTCGTTGTAAAGTACTAAGGTTCTAAACACGGCACGTATATTAGTGTATTAGTGGACGTATATTAGTGGTAAAATGTGTACCGTAAACACCATTTGAGCGATGATTTCGAAGTTGATATTTTGTCGTTGTGAAGTACTAAGGTTCTAAACACGGCACGTATATTAGTGTATTAGTGGACGTATATTAGTGGTAAAATGTGTACGGTAAACACCATTTGAGCCATGATGTCAAAGCTGATATTTTGTCGTTGTAAAGTACTAAGGTTCTAAACCCGGCACGTATATAAGTAAACATGTGGACGTATATTAGTGGTAAAATGTGTACGGTAAACTCCATTTGAGCCATGATTTCGAAGTTGATATTTTGTCGTTGTGAAGAACTTAGGTTCTAAGCCCAGCACGTTCCATTATTTTCCTGACAAGCTTATACCCATCGATCTAAAGCTTTATTTGCTTCAAACCGGTTACTTCTCACTTAAGTGATTATCATAATTTTCGATCTGAAGCAAACCCAGCTTCAGATCAATGGGTACAAGCTCGTCATGAAAAAAAATGGCGGCCTGTGCGCAATACTGACCACATTGCCACCATTATGTCAGTTTGTCACGAAATTGTTGAGTCATAATCTCCATGACCGCATTGTTCATAACATCAAGAGGCATGCCAATTTGAAACGAAATTGTGGAGTCGTAACCTCCATGACCACCTGACTAAACATTTCGTAAAATTGGCCTTCTCCAAAGTTTCGTGACAATGTTGCAGAATGTTTTACTTTTAAACATCATTTATAGTATCTAGTCTAATGTGCATATTAGAGAACAAAATAAACAACTATATGAGTTTTCTGAATCGGAAATTTCTTTGGAAATAACTTTTTTGTTCGTGAAAATAACGAAAAATTATGAAAAGTTTGAAAGTCAGACTTTTAGAGAAAAGTCTCATAAGCAACCTTAAGCCTTAAATACAAAGAGAAGTAAGCTTAAATACATTTAAGTCTTAAGCATAAAGTATAAGCCTTAAATACATTTGAAAATAAATATATTTAAGCCTTAAGTATAAGCCTTAAATACATTTGAAACCAAACTAAAATAATCCAAAAACAGTTTTCGCCAAAATGTTTTATATTTTTCCAGAACGTTATGTCTCCAAAATATCACCGTATTTTAAACCTACAAAAATGCTTTCTAGGACAAGTCGTGTGAAATTTTTTAATACATTAGAAATTATAAATAGGTTGAAAAATTACACAGTAACTTTAACAATAAGCATATAGGACACACAGTGTAATATGTTTATTGTTAACTTCTCTAATATACAATTTTAAAGAATAGATAGATTATAGTACACATTAACCCTTCGACGGACATAGGACACCGGTGTCCCTTTCATATACATATTTTTCTGACTCTCTAATTTCAAGTAGAAATATTTTTTGGTACTTTTTAATTATAAAAATAGTGTAATAGTTACTGAAGCACTCTTAGATTATCGAAATTATATTTGACTAAAACATTAAATCTACAAAAAAGCAGTTTGATTTTTTTTCCATTCATATTCAAAAATCTATCAATGATTTGATTTTGTGAATAACTTAAATTGCAATTATGAGTAATTGTTTCTTTTCGATCAAATAAGTGCAAATTTAAATAATTATTGTTCGGAAGTGAGCCGCGTTTGGAAGATTTTACCTTTAAAGCAGAAAACGACACCGGCATTTCATGCTGTATTCCATAACCATAAATTATTAAAAAGCTAAATACAATATTTTTCACTTTTTTTTACCTCAATTAATACAAAATAATAGAAAAAGTATGAAAAATATGTCAAATAAAAATTCTGCGTCAAAAGGTTAAAATACGTTTTGTTTTCACTTTGTCACAACATTTAATCTCAGCTTAAAAGAAAAGGAAAGTAGTCAAAATGAGAAAAGGAAAGTTGCATTCTTTTTCCCAAAAGTTCAAGATCAGTAACGAAATAAAATTGTGCTATTATCCTTCCTTATAGTCGATCTCTTCCCTTCTTACCTACTTTCTACTCATTGTTTCAAAATTTAATAAAATTTCCCATTTGCGTTTATTTCTTCCATTAGAAAAAGACGGAACACGTGACCGTGACATATGACCTTTTTTGTAATATTATTAATATTACTTCTCTCATCTGTTACAGGAAAATCTTGAAATCCGGTATTCTATAGGATATTCAGGTATTTTATGGGATGGTTGAATAGTTGTCAGCAAATTATGAAACGGGTAAACAATTCACACATTTCCTATACCTTTTAAAAAGTATCAGTTGTATGAATAAATATATTGTTTTGTATTTTTTAAATATAAACAATTTCTAAAATTAAAAAAAAATAAGAAAATACTAAAATCCTATTATTATTACTGATATTCAGTTGTCTTTTTTTTATTACTGAGTTTAGTGTGGCAATGCTAGAAACAAAATATTATATAGAATTCTCAAGCATTTTAAGGAACTTTTTCTTTATGCACACTACCTACTGAACAATTTGCGTGCATCACCTGGTATTGTACAATTCAAAATAAAAATGTTTTTATTTGTAAAAAATATTTTTACAAAGTTTTTGTTTTTAAAAATTTTACAAATTGAAACGTTCTTTACCCTCTTCATATCAAGCTTGCAGAAAAGAGCAAGATGTAAATACACATTAAAAACCGATTTTTTTTTTAACTAAACATACTTGAATTTTTTGAACTGAACCAGCAAGTCTCATCAATCCTTCTTCCCTTAAGCCATTGCTATGGAGATGATGCAAAATCTGAAATAAAATAAGTCAAGTATATTTCAAAATTATAAAAAAAAATATACGACAGTTTTTTATTTTATGAATAATTCCGCGAGTTAACTACACTAAATACTTCTCTGTTATGAATATAGGGACCAGGAGAGGTATTAATTTTAAAAAAAAGTAATTTAGTGAAAATTAATTTTTTTTAATCCGCTGGAACGAGTACTGGGACAGAGAAACCAGAGTCATTTTTCTATATAAAATACTAAGAAAATTCAATTTACAGTTAAGAAAAATTTCAAAAAAATAAAAAAAATATTATACAAATAAGTATGAGTTAGATATCATGGTTAAAACTAACTAAATTTTAAATGAACATATAAGGATATATCTGCGTTTTCATGGAAAAAAACAAATATTAACATTTTCTAACATTAAAGACATTAATATTTTCTACCACAAAAGCTTAAGTGTATAATCACATGTAAAATTTTATTACTCTTACATTGATAAATGGTAGAATTTAAAAACTTAAATTTCAATAAAATAAGAAGAAATGTTAGGTATAACAAAAATATAAAATACTCGATATTATTACACCCCAGAATTATATTTGATAGGCATGAAACCCAACAGGTGTAACATGCCTTCTTGCTAATTATTCGAGCATTTACCATATTCTAAATTGGAGGGGGGGAAAGAGAATTAAAGCTTTCGTGCACTGTTCTTTATGTGTTTAAAAGCATACTTGGACCTTAAACTAATTATTAGAAGCTTCAATCGAATCTAGTATTCGATAAACCTGCCACTTTTGGGGGCCAAATTGCTCACCTTTCAAAATTATTTCGTACAACATACATATTTTAATGTTAATCAAGCCGAATGCACATCACAACGGTATTTAAACATCCTAATTTTATTTTAGATTTTATAACCGTCGTTGAACAGCTGACCCAATTTTTTTGGATTTACGACTACTAGTGCTCAACTCCGTAGCCTTGTAATTTTGACCCTAATCCAGAAGACAAGGGAACCCCTGGATCAGGTATTGGGAGACATTTTGCCTTCGTGGAGGACTTTTTTAATGGAACTAACCCGCATTTGCGTTACATGGAGAGGAAGACCACGAGAACCTCTCATAGTTAGTCTGACGGCAAAGGGACTCTAACCCATGATCAGTCTGCCACTGAGGATATTTCACGTCAGCACTGTGGTCGGTGCAATCTGGATGCGGTTTCGTATCGACCAGCCATCAGTGGTATTCGAACCGGGTTCATCTCATTGGAAGGCGAACGCTCTATCCCTTGAGCCCTCACGGTTCTAAACATCCTAATTCTCCACCCCCTCTTCCAATCCTAACTTCTTAGATAGTTTTAAATTACACATTTAAAAAAAATTCCATCTAATTGTTCCCCGCGCGGAAGTAATTTAATTCCAATTCTAACAATTTTTAAAAATTTTCCGCTATATTGACAAAGCTCTTAAATGAATTTTAGTATTAATTTAAAATCTGTCCGACAGCCATGAAATATCACAAACAATCATTAAACACGAGTCAAGGAGATTTCAGCATAGTAGGCAGCACTAGTATTAAAATTATTTCCTTCTCTGTCATGAGATAAGATAGGAAACTTATCTCAATGCTCCATTACGTTCTGCACTACTTCCTCACGCACCTCTCGAGTCTTAACTAAAGCATCGTATAATATATATATATATGCTATTTTTTAACCGTTTTTAAACAGCCGACCCGATTTTGAGTTTACAGCTACCATTGAAAATATTTACCCCGATCCGCCCCAATTCAGGGCATACGGGTAAATGTTTATTAAAACCAAGTAAAAACAGAAAAAAACATAAAATACATAAAGTGCATAAAATACATGAGTCATATGGCAACAGCCGGGAGGGCCGCCTTATAGTGCTTAAAGCCGACGGCCCACCCTTATACTGAGCCAAATTACAATAGTATTGAAGGCCCCAACAAAGTTACAGAGAATGCAGTATGTGTTACAATACATAATGAGTAGTTACAAGACATAAACATCTCACATAAAACAAGACAATTAAAGATATGAATACAATAAAATAAAAACGTTTTTTTTTTCCTTTCCCTTCTTTCTTTTTTTTTTTTTTTTTTTTTTTTTTTTTTTTTTTTTTTTTTTTTTTTTTTTTTTTTTTTTTT